GACTAAACAAATGTCGACGTGATCACTGCTGTTGTTTATGCAAACGTGCCTGAGCTCGAGAAGTCGTTGTCTATTGTGACCCAATCTGTGTGCTGATCACATTCAAGGGTGCGCACGGGAGCAGGGAAGGGGGAGCAGGGTTGCCGTGTCAGGTCCATTGCGGAATAGTTGACAACTGTCGTGACCACAACCTACGATAGTGCCTATAGACTCGACGCGATACTTCTATCTTCAAAAAGTTCCGCTTGTACAGTGCATCAATACAGATGCGAATGCTGGGCTATGCGCGTCGAAGATGAACGAAAACCGGAAGTCTTTGACCACTTCTGTGTGAATTATACAGACTTCGTCTCAAATGAGACAGTCCGCACTCGCTGCAAGATCGCAAGGATATCCCAGAGAAACCAAGAAAAGCGATTGAGGTGGTTTGGACACCTTCTTCGTCGTGAACCTCATGAAATCAGTATAACTGTCCTGAACCCAAACCGTTACCTAATTGTAAATTTCTAAGTGGTTGGGTCAGCTCAAAACCTAGCTCGACATGGAAGTGGTTCTTGGGCCTTCGGTATTCGTTGTCCGGCTCTGGCAATAAAATGTCTACTTTTGCTGTCATTAATCGTTGTGCGTGGAGAAGCACCGCGCGGGACATCATCGAGGGCAGCTACATAAGTCATAATCGCAGCCGCAACAAGTACAACTAAGTAACTATCAATCAGTGAAACAGATTTACACTAGAAAAGTGCTATCATTAAGGGACCAGTACATGCAACCTCAAATCTCCATTTGATGTTCTCAGTAAGGATATTCCCAAATTGGTAATGAGGGCAAGTAGCGATGACCTAACTTAGCACCTTTTCAGACTGTCAGTTCCAAAGAGGGAGACCAACGCATAACAAGGTAAAAGCAATGGCCACTGCGAGGTCCTTTCATCACTGACTATTCGCAGATTTTTTAATGAGAAGTTGCCCTGAATCAGCCTGAAAGTAATAACAGGAGACAAGGCTGTGGACTTACCGAAAGAAAAGAGTCTGTTCTGACATACGATGAGAGCAGTAGTTGTCCTCGCCGTGTCCCAGTTAGCAAGGTGCGTCCACTGTCCCAACGGCCGCTGGTTGTCGGGCACCGTGAAGACATCGACTCCGTTCGAATACCCTTTACCGCCAGCAACGAAAATTCTGTCCCTAAATGCAACGGCCGTTTGCTCTGCACGTGGCTTTAGCATGGCAGTCGCATCCTTCCAAAAGGCTCCCGACGCTTTTGGCGGCCCTTGCCAGTCTGCTGGCTCCTTGAGATGGCATGTCTCCACTGAGGAGAGTTTTTCAGAATAGTAGCTGCCAGAGCGATCCCATTTTTGTTCTTCACCACCCATCACAAACACGCGCCCGTCTGGCAGTGCAACCGAGGCAGCACATTTCCTCGCTGTTTTCAAATCTGGCAGTCTATACCATCTGTAGGAGATAAAAAAAGCTAGAGAGACTGATGGCATAACTACGAAGCTACAAAGATGTTCTGCTTAATTTAATTCACAGTCAATATAGTCAAGAATGTGTATTTATGG